ATTTGTTAATAATTTTTTAATTAATTATGGATGATAATTAAAAGGTTTTTGAGAGTTATCTAGGTTTATAATCTTGACAACATATGTCAAGATTAAGATTGTCAGATTTAATTGTGTACAGTGAGATGTTTTTCTATTCTAGATTCCAAAGTAGCAAAACAAATCATACTACTGTGTCATATTTTACCACCAAAGGGAAGACTCATAGTAAAAAAAGGCACTGTAAATTTTCGACCCAAGAATGTATAGATTCTATTATAATTCATGCAACTGTGAGTATTATTAAAAACTACCAAAAATTGAAAAAGAGGATGTCGAAAAAATACTAATGCTTGTCCTCGGAGTGGCAAGTAGGTAAAAGCAAATGGTAAAAGCGATATATTTTTTTCTATAGCTTGCGAGCTACAGAATTTGATTATAATCAATTTTTATTTGTCGGGAAAAGATTAAAATCAGATATCTGAAGCTATTAAACATCTAGTACCGTAAAGTATTATTGTTGAATTTGACAAACGTATTAATTTGTGTTTTCCTGTTGGTAAAACATTTGTTCATGAAGCTCTACAATAATAATAATTTACGATACTAGATGTTTAAAAGCTTTATATGCTGATTTTATTACTTTTCCAATAAATAAAAATTTTTGTAACATTAGAATCAAAGTCTGCAGCTCAAAAATTATAAAAAAACATGCCGCTTTTACTTGCCACTCTTGGAGCAAAATTGGCACTTCTTTTAGCTTTTTTGTTCTCTCGAATTATCTTTAAGGGGATATCTGAATGTTTTCTATTCCATTAGAGTGCAGTCGATATTGAAAGTAAAATTAATTTGCAAAAGGAACGAGCAAAAATACGGGATCTACATTTACAACCTTTCCTTTTAGTCGAAGGTCCAACTTACACTGAGATTAATAAAATATATATTGTCATTAATAAAGTGAAATATGAATATGAGAACTGTCTAAAGGCATTAGATATATTTTTCAAAATTTTTCATGTTATGCGTATTCGCTATCCTCCACAAAGCGAACATATTTATGAAGCCATTGAAATAGCGATCTTTAACAGCCAAAGAAAATATTTAAAAGATATCCTTATATTCAAGATATTA